ACTGAATGATTTTTTTTTTTGTATTTTGGGTTATGTAATGTTTTTAGGGCCTTGATAATGTAGTACTTGAGAAAGAATAGACTTCAAATAGAAAACTTATTTCCTCATGAGACTTTATTCTTATCACACAAGCAAAATTATGATTGATAATGTAATTTGAAAAGTCCAAATAATACCACTGAGGAAAAAACAAGGAGTAAAAAAGCCAACACATAACTTGAAAGGGATTTTTGAAAACTGTCACAATATTATTCATACCCTCTTTGTCTACTAACATATTGCTGAAGACTACAATATTTTGTAGTAAAACCTTCTATTCATTTAAGTAATGCTAATAAAATAATTTTAGCGTCAATCTTTTTTTTCTCACAAATTAAAATAACCATGGCCATATTTGGTGTTCTCTAAAGGAATATGGATACTACCAAAATCAATATTCAACTTATAAAGGAGAAATATGAGATGTTGACATAATGACTCTTTATTCAGTATCTTCTTCCATGTTGGTCTGATCTAGGGCATGTATCTCTCTTTCAGGTAGTAACCCATATTCATTTAGGAAAGACTCCACATCCCCAGCAAAAAATTCTTCGGCAAACTGTTCTGTAACACTAATAAAATTGCTTATGAGTTCCCCACCTTTGTAGACGAGCAGTGTGGGGAGTACATCTGAGGAAAAGCGGTCCCCTGCACCTGTATTAGAAGCTTTTATTTTACAAAACTTGACTATAGGGTATTCAGCTGCAAGGCATGTAAAGCTACTGTTTAGAGTATCACAACCCTTAATGCCATCTTCATAAATATGAACAACAATTGTGGTGATTTTTTGCTCCTTTTCAATGGTTTCCAGGAATTGCTCCCCAGTTTCCAACTCATACACAAACCCATATCTAGGCCCAAAACTCAGCTTCTGGTGCATATCCTGCATACATTGTCTACGATATTTACGAAGGCAATTTTCATCTTCTTTGTCCCTGTGAATTAATTCATATTCTTGAATGCTCATCTAGAAATAAAAGAAATGATAGAGATAATTTGGTCAGAAATTTATATTCTTTTTAAAATTTTTTTAAAGATTTTATTTATTTATTTGAGAGAGGGAGCATGCACATGCACACGCAGGGAGGAGGGGCAGAGGGAGAGGGAGAAGCAGGTTTCCCACTGAGCAGGAGTCCTATGCAGGGCTCCATCCCAGGACCCTGGGATCATGACCTGAGCTGAAGGCAGATGCTTAACCAACTGAGCCACCTAGGCGCCCCTAGTAATTTATAATCTTTAGACATACCAAACCTATTCTCAACTCAAAAAGTTTGCATTTACTGTTTTCTCCCCACCATCCTACCTCACTCCTGATGTGAAGGCCTTTTCCTTCTTCACCACATTCAAGCCTTTGTTCAAATATTACCTTCTTTGATTATACTACCTAAAAGAGTCCCCATACCATGCTTTCTATTCCTTATATTGGTTTATTTTTCTTCATAACAACAAACACTATCTGACATTGTGTTATATATTTATTTATTTCATAATAGTTATTATTATTATTATTTTTATTTATTTGACAGATAGCGAGAGCAGGAACACAAGCAGGGGGAGTGGGAGAGGGAGAAGCGGGCTCCCTGCTAAGCAGGGATCCCGATGTGGGACTTGATCCCAGGACCCTGGGATCATGACCTGAGCCGAAGGCAGACGCTTAACGACTGAGCCACCCAGGCGCCCTCATAATAGTTTTTATAACTGATATGTCCCATGGGGCAGGAATTTTGTATCATTCATCTCTCTTCACTATCTGCTATAGTGTCTGGCATAAAATGGGAGCTCAGTAATTATTGCATGATTAAATGCATGCCTAAATATTACTGAATATAGTTGAGCCACGAGATGGTCACAATCTCAGTAAAAAATGTGCCAGTTAGCTACCCATCACTTTGGGTGAAAAAAATCCCAGCAGGGTCTACTCTGGAGTGGCTTTCCTAAAAAATAAAAAGAGTATACACACATAATTTAAATGTGTCCCCAACAAATGCCTTTAAATATTAGTGTCTCCTCCACAAAAGTTCTTTAAAAGATTATATCTTTAAAAAGAAAAAAAAGATGATATCACTTACTGACTTTTTGGAATATATGGGGTAGAATTCAAGCAAGACAGCTTTTACTATTATTTGCTGTTCATAAGATCATTCAAGAGGTTAATGCTGGGTCAGCAGCAACAGCAGCACCTGAGAAATTCTGGGAAAGGCAAATTTTGGAGCACCACCCCAGATCTACTGAATTAGAACTTATATGTGTGAGGCTGAGTGAGCCATCTTTAAATGAGCCCTTCAGGTGATTCTTAGCTACTGGTTTAGGCTAAAGTGAGAAAAGACTTCCATCTTCCAAGACAGCTACTTTCCACTGCAGCTAGAGTGTAAAAGTACCTACAGAGCCTTTTTTAATAGCTACACCATTATTAACTTATTCCATAGAATGATAAACACTCTCCTCCTCCACCAAAATACATATATATGTATGTATACATGTGTATGTACATATATATGAAGGAACAATGTGGGACATAGTATGATTGAGAGACGTGGAGCCACCCAGAATCACAGAAGTTGGATTCGCTGCTGCTTTGCCATCAAGTAGCCTCTCAAACAGCAACTGCTGATAATTTTTAAAGTGGAGGAGAATTGAAAAGGCAAGAAACTAGTATTTATGGAAAATCTATTATGTCTTAGGCACTTTGCATAGATTATTTTACTTAATCCTCACAATAAACCTATGAGGTAGGTATTATTACTCTCATTTTATAGATGATACTAAGATTCAGGTTAAGTAGAAATATCTGGTGCTTTCATTAATTCCTTCTCATTTCTGCCTCTTATATTTGTTTTTCTAATGTCCTTATTCTTTTTCCTGTCATATTAACTTTTTTGCTTTAAGATAATTCTCAATTTTATTTGTTTTAATCCTAAAAAATGTTAAATGTTTTCTATAATTTTTAAGTTGCTACCATAGTTCTGTTAATTTAACAGACTGAATCATACAAATATTGATTTACATATGCATTTGTGAGAATTTGTTCCGTTCATATATTCAGGCATTTAGGCATTCAGATACACTTCTCAAGCTTAACCTGTACAACACCTTTAATAATCATAATGTCTCTCATTTGTATGGCATTTTACATGTTTCAAATACTTTTACATTTATTTTCTCTTCACATCTCTTTAAAACAAAGAGAGGATGTGTTGTTACAATTCTTCAGATGGGAAAGTTTAATTGTCTCATCTATATCACATAGTGTCTCAGTGAAGGAACCCAAATCTGGAAACAAGATCTTGATGTTTCTGATGTAGTCTGTCTGTTGAGAATCAATATACAACTATATGCATTGGTTTGGAGATAAATAACCCACTAAAGTGATTTACTCCACAATGGAAGTCACTTAATGGGTTTTAAATTAATATGATTGTTGTTATTATTGTTATATAAATAATGCATACTAGTTATAAGGATTCAAAAATGGGTTAAAAGCTAAAGGAAGAAAGTAATAAATAGTGAAATTTCACCACTCTAATACTCTGAGATAATCTCCATTTACACATTTTGACATAGCACATGGACATACACATTATATAACAAGTAAATAAGTGAGTTTTTTTTAATTCTGCTTTAAAAAAATCATGATACCTTTAAAAATATGTGGCTTATTCTTCTTACCTTCTTTTTCCTATTTGGAAAAAGGAAGTTGAGATCTTTCAATCAATCCCACCCTTCTAAATAACCAATATTGTCAAGTTGGTGAGTGTCTTTCCAAACTTCCACATATTGTTCATATAATTATATAAGTGTAAAAACATATACAGTGATGTGTATTTTTTTTCCCTTTGCTCTAGAGAATGGGATCATCATATAACCTAAAATACTCCGTTATCTTGTTTCCTCATTTTACAGAACTGCCTGTAAGTCAGCTCATGTATTTATAACTCATTCTTTTAATAGCTGCTATACATTTTTT